CAACTATTCTGCTACATCCATTTTTCTTTATGTTGCATCACTTGTCTATTTCCTTTATATATATTTTGGTGTCCCTCTTTGCCAATATTTATGTATTTAATAAGTAAATAAAGTACTCAAAATCTAAAGAGAGATAAAGAGTGAATGGATCTGTGCCATTGTTATCAATTTTAATCGATGTAACTCACCTTCCCTAACCATTGGTCGAAGTTACGAGGTAAATCCCGACCAAATAGTCTCCATCTACCAATGTGATTTAGTTCAGTGGTATATGATTTCATTAACTGACTGGTGCAACGTTTTGGTTTGTGCATTCTTAGTCATTTTACAAACTATTCCTATATTATCCAATCATGGTTTGGTATATGTAACACTTGTCTCAACAATATCAGTCTATGAAGATTCACTATCTCATCAATTGACTTCCCTTCTTCATTAGATACCTACCTGTTTTCTATTCTCAACACTGATCATCACTCGATCGTTGCACGAGGCACGAACAATACTTCGAAAATACCTATGATTGAAAAAGTGTAGTTTACACTTGTCTACTACTTCTACAAAGCATTATTTACAATCATAAAGTAATGTTAATGCATGTAGACTGTTGAGTTGATTGGGAGTGATTGAGGTTTCGCCTAAGCCACAAATGACGTAAGTTGATGAAAGCCACTCGAACACCTGAGTCTGTGCGGACATCTCGTCAGGCACCACGGAACGAGGACCGATGAGTCTTCCAGAATAAGTGAGCTACTCAACACATGTAGCTACTTAAATCCTTATAACCAATCTAGGTATTGAATTATCATTAGTCTGTGTGTACGGTTCAGCAGTTTGAGCCTTCGACACAACATTCAGGTCTTTAAGTTTCGTTCTTCGATTTGTATGATAGACTAGTTTTCTGATTTATCAGACGACGATAACAGTATAATGTGTTGAATCGATTGCTGCTTATCTAGGTAGCTAGTTCGCTTGGTCGATGAGGCACATACTTAATACTGCTTATTCAATATGTCAATCTGGTCATCGATCTGTGTCTGTACGAAGTTTTATTGCTTTCTATATCAACGTTTCCATCCATATCATTAGACTAGTTTATAAATTCAGTGACCATAAACACTGTCCTTAATATACATTCACTATATATTGAACTAAAATAAGATCTAGCTTCAATTCTCTCTACTTGGTTGCCATAATTCCCACAGTCTTAACACCGACTAATCAGAAATACAATCCTCCCACGATGATTTAATGGTAAAGACTTATAAATATTGATCTTTGCAAACAATGTATACCTACTAATTTACTTACAAATATCTTGAAAGTAAATTCAATGTCTAGCTTACTAAATCAACTGTCTACCAAAAGAAAGACGTCGTCTCCAAACGCGGTATGAATGTGTAATATGTCTCCTTTATTGTTGTAGGGTGGGTGAGTACTACAAAGCAACAACTTCACAAAATTATTAAAAAATAATCATTGAATTTTCTAACTCTATTTTTGACAATATAAACAATATAACTTTCTTTCTAGAAAGGATTTCTGATCTTAATATCGTAACATTCCATTTCAACATAAATCGATTCTTTCAGTTGAAATACTTGATTGTTAGAAAAAATATCAAAACTTTTATTTTAAAGTTTACCTTGTGTACAATAAAATGTATTTTGACATGATTTCGGAAAAATCTCATCTATATGAATTTTACCAGGTTATTTGAAAGCATAAACATTGGTACAAGGAGGCACCAAACAGCTATGCACCATATAAATCATTCGATTTTTGTGAGGGTTGGGATACTGCCTGGATGTCCAAACTGAAACAGGTGATTTTCTTAAGGGATTACATCTCAAAACTTTGACCTAAAGGTCTGATTTTCAAGGCAGTGAAGCAACTTTGGGAAATGCAGTCCCATAGTAGTCTGCGACCAACGATTTATTCATACATCATTTGTTCCTTCAGGATCCTGAAGCGGATGTGCACCACTGGTTTGGAATCAGGGTTTTCCAACTTCCCTGGTTGAATCTCCCATATCCAACAACCCTGTTAAAGCCTGTGCCGGACATTCGCTTCTCGTCCTCAGAATTTCGCGGACAACACCGCCACGTTGGAGATTATATCTTATTTATTCTTACTGTTCATATTTATAACCACTTATCAATATATGGCTAGTAAAAGTAGAATATGATTGGACACGGTGTGTTAATTGAAAGATATTGACCTTACTGGCATAGTAAACATGTGATTTTTTGCTCTATTATCGATTTGCATTATGTATATTGGCACCTGCTTCGGTTTGGGCACCAGGGGCAGTACCACAGCCCTCACACATATCGAATGAGATTTGTGTGGCGCATATGTATTTGGTGCCTCCTTGTACCAATATCTATGTGTTAAAATATATAAATAAATAAATGTATATTGGCTGCTTGGAATAATGTATTATGTAGTCTATACTTTGGTTCTCTATATTTGATCTTGAATCATGTGCCTGGTATAATATGAACTAAGTCTGTGTAGAGTGTAACAATTGAGTATTGATTCGAGCCCCAAATGCCCTGGTATGGCTGAGAGTGGGGTGGGTCTGCCTTCCCTCTTGAAATGCTCTCACACGGCCACGCGTATACAGCATCTGTCAGGGAAGTTCTACTCACTGCCTTCTCGCACCAGGGGTGTTTACGAAATTGAGAGGACGAAAAGCGAATGTCCGGCACTTTAACCGGATCCCAAACCAATGGTGCACATGGGCTCCAGTATCCTGCGGGAACAAATGGCGTATGAACCAATTTTCGGTCACCGGCTACCATGAGACTGCATATCCACACGATGCTTCACTGCCTTGTGGGTCAGATCTTTAGGTCAAGTGCTCGGCGTGTGGCCCTTTAAGAAAGCCACCTGTTTCGTTCTGGGCACCCGGGCAGTATTACAGCCCACACACTAATAAAATGAATATGACGATATTTACTGAAAATTCTATTCACGCTTTGATTAACAGTCAAACGATCCTTATTATTATTATTATTATTATTATTATTATTATTATTATTATTATTATTATCATTATTATTTACTACGTCATTATTCACCCTCTTTTATTCCCACTCTGTCTATACTTATTTTTCGACTTATACAGCAGCTCGCCTGTTGTGGAAATTCGGCTCTGTTTAAACGTTCTCGAGTCAACGCCTGGTTGAAAATTGTATGCTACCACTAAATACGAATCATTTTTTTCTGAAATCACGTGCACCATTCAAACTGGCTGCCTTCAACGTTCGCACACTTATGCAGGTCGAACAACAGATACGGCTGGCTATGTCTTTGGAAAGTCTTAATATGGACGTTTGTTGTCTATCGGAAACCCGTATTCAAGACTCTGGTGAACTACTACAAATCCGCTCTCCATCTGTCGCTTCGAAAAGCTTGTTTTACATGCGTTTATCCGGGTACTTTGTGACATCTTCGTCTGGTCTTGCTGGCGTTGGTGCCTCACCAAGCGCTAGAGCTTAGGCAGCACTAATCGATTGGGTCTCCATTAACAGTCGGTTATGTGCTGTTAGATTAGAAAGTTCCATCAAAGTGAGAAGAAATAGGCGTGAGAAACGATGTCTTTCCGTCATCTCCGACAGGTTGCAACCCGGATGCAATCAAGGATGAGTTTTACCACCAGTTAACTGTTCTTCTCCAGAAAGTGCGTTCGACAGATATTGTAGTACTAGCCGGAGACTTGAATGCTCAGGTCGTGCGTCTAGGCACAGAAGAGAGTCGTTTAGGTGGCCGATGGGGATTTGTTGGTCGCAGGACAGATAACGAAGACCGTTTTCTGCAAATGTGCACAGACCACAACCTGTTTCTGGCTAGCACTAACTTTCGGCAGTCATCACCGATGTGCCACCTGGCGTCCTTCCTCTGCATCTCAAGCCTGAACTCAGATTGATTACATCGCGATCACCTACCGCTGGTGTGATTGTGTACGAGACTGCCGCTTCTTTTGAAGTACCTATCTGGACTCTGATCATGCCTTGGTCTGCGCCAATCTTACCTTACTTTTCAGTGGCCAACGAAGTGACCGCCACCAACAGATTGATGTTAGCAAGTTGGTTGCAACTTCTGTTGCAAGTAAGTATCAAACCAAGCAAGCTTCTAGGCTAGCTACCATTCCAACGAAACGTGTAGATGAGCATTGGTTGTAACTGCATGACGCCATCAAAATGGCGAGTAAAGCCGCTTGCGGCTTCGCGGAACGTCCCGCTTATAAGCACTGGGTTTCTTCAGGCTCCTTACAACTCATTGAAGCCCGTCAGTCTACTCCGGATGACCGTGAGTTTGACCACAAACGAAGGCTGTTACATAATGAAATTGAACAAAGCTTGCATAAGGACCGAGAAGCCTGATGGTCGGAGCGTGCTAATAAGCTGCATGGAGCATCTGCATCTGGTAATTACCGGAAGCTCTTCCAACTCATCCGAGCCACTGGCAGCAAGAAGTCTGGTGTGAGCGAAACAATCTGTGAGGATAATGGGATGCCAATCACTAACATCCATCGACGTCTTGGACGATGAGCAGAATTTTTCGAAGGACAGATCAACTGGCCTGCTGCTCCGGCAACATCGGTCAGACTGTCCTGCCCTTCATGGCCGGTGACGACTGATCCACCAAATGAGGCGGAAGTCCGCAAGGAACTCCAACTCTTGAAGCGTTACAAATCACCTGGCCCAGATGACTTACCTCCGGCTCCTTTTAAAGATGGTGGTGACTTTCTGACTAAGGAACTGACTGTGTTGTTTACAAAGGCTTGGGAGCTAGAGAATTTACCAACGTCATAAAATGAGGCAATAGTTGTCCCTATCCTTAAAAAGGGTTCACGTCGTTCCTGTAACAACTATCAGGGGATAGGTCTACTTCCGATTGCGTCCAAGCTATTGGCTTCCATCATACTTCGTAGGTTGTTCAAAACCCGAGAAAGATTGACTCGCGAGGAGAAGGCTGGGTTTCGTTCTGGTCGAGGATGTATTGATCATATCTTTACCCTCCGCCAAATGTTAGAACATCGTCATACTTATCAAAGGCGAAAAATCGAAGTGTTTCTTGACATCAGGGCTGCCTTCGATTCGTTGGACAGGACTGTTCTCTGGGATTGTCTATTGAAGAAAGGTGTGTCTGAGAAGTTTATTAACATCTTAAGAGCCTTATGTACAAACAGCTCAGGCAGAGTGAGGGCATACAACCACCTCTCTCCATTGTTCCATTCAAGCAGTGGGGTCAGACAGGGTTGCCCAATCTCACCATTCCTCTTCAAATTTGCCATCGACGATATTCTGGAAACAGCTCTGATGGATGTAAGTAATGGCGGTGCAGATCTGTTGCCTGGAGAAAGACTTCTCGACCTTGAGTATGAGGATGATATTGTCTTACTGTGCGATAATACCCAAACCATGCAATCTGCACTTAATCAGTTGGCAATCAATGTCCGTAGGTATGGTATGTGCTTTGCACCTTCGAAGTGCAAAGTACTTCTACAAGACTGGCAGGATTCTAATCCTGTACTCACTCTGGATGGTGAGCAGATAGAAGTAGTCGAGAAGTTCGTGTATCTGGGTAGCTGCATAAGTGCTGGTGGGGGTGTGAGTGATGAGATCAATGCACGTGAAAGCCAGGTTTGCTTAAGCCAATCTGGGCCACCTTTGGTGCCTCCGTGATGTTAGTCTGACTGTAAGAGGTCGGATCTACAACGCGTCGGTGAGAGCAGTTTTGCTCTATGCTTGTGAAACCTGGCCTCTCCGAGTTAAGGATGTTAGACGACTCTGTGTTTGATCATCGTTGTCTCCGAAGGATTGCTGACATCCAGTGGCAACACCATGTCAGTAATGCAGAGGTTCGGCATCGTGTGTTCGGGCACAGAGACGATAATGCAATCGGTGTCACCATCTTGAAACACCGACTTTGGTGTCTTGGACATGTTCTACGAATGTCGTCCCAGAGAATTCCACGTCGTGCATCATTTGCCGACTCTGGGACTGGTTGGGAAAAGCGGAGAGGTGGCCAGTGTATGACATGGTGTCGTGGTATGAAAGAAAGCTGCAAAGGACTGGCTTGTGTTGGTCCTTCACGACTCCCTGGCTAGAGACGTTATCAGATATGGCTCAGAATAGAAGCCAGTGGCGATCCTGCTGTAACCTTCTCTTACTTTCTTCATGGAAAGTGGTTGTATCTTTCTTAACTGAAAGATTTCCTCTGGTTGTACCTTTCCGTTTCCCCCATTATAACTATTATTATCATTAGTAGTACACTACTTTACACTTATCTGGTCGTTATTCTTCTTCTTTTTTTCTTTTACACTCCTTACTTTTTTTTCTTTTTCCTTCTCTTTAAATCCTCATTGTTTTGTGTGGCGCATATATATTTGGTACCCTCTTGTACCAATATTTATGTGTTCAAATAATAAATAAATAAGTGTATCAATTGAGTATTGAGTCGAATGAAAAGAAAATCTCGATCACATTTAAATATGCCTTTCTCTTTTTTCCCTTACATAATCCTACTGAACTACAATATTGTTTATGAATCAGTACAAGTCGATCGTTGAAGATACAACAGCAGTTGAAGCTTGGCTATCGGGCAATATTCCACATTCTTCATCCGATACAGAAGCTTATCCAAATGGTGGTGGCAACGGTGGTGTTGGTAATGGAGGATTTCGTCGTAAATTATCCAAATTGACTCTGTTTCGTGAGGTTTTTGGAAGTGGTCAGTAGTAATAAGTTATTATCACTCTTTTTTATTGCTTACAATTCATATCCATTCGAATAAAATCTTTTTTTTAATCATTTACATAGAAATACTATGGTGTTTTGAATATGGTCTTTCATTTAGAAAAACACAAATTAATATCTAAGTTCACTTATCTTACTCACTGAACAAGTGCAATTTGTTTTTGTAAAATTACTGCAGTCAACTTGTTCTCTTCAATCATTTGCATTCAGTAAAGTAGGTACCTAGGTGGAGAAGAATTTTTTGTGACTATCAGTCAAATAGGGTTGAGATTTCGAGGTCTATTCTGATTCAAAACCTAACTATTTCAAGTTTTAAAAGAATGGATTTAATTTATACAAGTTTCGATTATCCCATTCTTGATATTTTGAAATGTACTTTACATGCAGTTTATCTCGATGTACATATTGTCACAAGTTTATCTAGAAGAGATAGACTGTGATTAGCAATAAAATCCAGGACTCGTATTTCATCCTATTTGGAAATCATCAGTTGGATGTACCTGAGTCTTAGAGCTGTTGATGTTCACTATGTAAACTTTGAAATGCATATACATCCAGTTGATGAGTCCCAAATATGAAAATATGCACGTTTTGCACCAAACTTACTAGTCACATTCTATTTAAAATATCCGACTTTTCGGAAAATTTTATTCTCAAATTTAAATTACTGTGCAGTTTTTCTGTTATATACAATTCAAACATCAAAGTGAATTCAATCATTTGGCCTACTGTTATTCATTTACCAAGTCCATGTTTATTGTTTACTTGACTTGTATTATAAAGGCTAGTGTTCATATACCACCTGCTAGATTGCCCAAACTGTCATATACTGCTTGAAAAATTAGTAATTTTTTAACCACAGGGTCACTATTTCATTTGGTTCGATACAATTTTTGCCATATTGTTTGTTACACATTAAATTTATAACAATATGAACTGTAATTTTCCAAAACACTCCCCCATTAATAGTTACGTTTTAAGTATTTTTTTAGTCAGTCTACAAATCAACCATATTGAAATTGCCATCAGTGTGTAAAACTTCAGATAGGTAGGAAAAAGTCATCAGAAAATGTTATCCAAAATGGCACCACAACTATTCAGGAGAATTAGAAAATATTTCCCTTAAAAACTGATTTGAAAAGATAGCGCTGGTACATAACGTTGAGAAACAGAAGACATCGTAAATGAAATTAGATTATGATTCTAGATGCTAATCGATATCTTATGCTTAATTTACCAAACAGAATTTTAATTCTAATTACTTTTCTGGTCCACTGTCGTGAATGAGAACACCAGTGGGGACAATCAAATGTATTTTGATACAACATTACAGAATATCTTGGTAAAATCTGAGGACCATACAGTAAATACTTTATTTGCAAAATATCCGTCAATTATCTTGGAGTTTGTTATTCCTTGGGTTTTTTTATCAATCACTCTTTGTTCTCATCCTCATCTCTTTGTTTTTCTCAACCTTCTGCTGCCCGGCATTCCACTTTCGACTGGTGATACATACTACTCATATCTGTCGACATCAGTAGCACACACCACACCGCTTCTACTATTCTTTCTATAATCTAACGTCCTTGACTTGACCGATTGTGTGTTCTGACACACAAACACAACTAACCTCAAGCCAAATTAAGCTCCTCTATTATTGGTCTGCTATATTATCCTCAAGCTTTTTCTCTATCTCCTTCTTTGGGTCTCAAGAAAAATCAGCAGTCAGTTTCTATCATGTATATTTCAGTCACCCAACCCAACCTAAAACCATCTCAAACATGCATTAGTCTGTATACTCGAATTTTCAGATCACACAGCACATCAAATAGGAAACCATACTTTGAACATAATCATGCCATAAATGGTAGAGAGCGAAGCAAACAGTAACATAATGATTGATAACTATAGTATAGAAAGACGTATAATGACAATTAATTGGTCCACTCGAAGCTTACTATAAGGAAAATATTGATATACAATAACACAGTTACCTACTAAGTACACAATAAAATATAAGTAATAATAATCCGAAAAATAATTCTAATTTTTCTGATGCTCGTCCAGTTATAACAAATTACCTATTTGGCCCCCAAATGCCTTGGTACGGCTGAGGGTAGGGAGTCAGCTCTCCCTCTCGAAATGCTCTCACATGACCACGCATTTACAGTCACTGTCAGAAAAATCCTACTCACTACCTTCTCATAGGGAGAGTGTTATTTGCGAAATAGAGACAGGACGAAAACCGAATGTCCGGCGTTTTAACTGGGTTGGTGGACACGGAGATTCCACCTAGGGGAGTTGGAAAACCCTAATTCAAAAAACCAATGGTGCTTATCGGCTTCATCATCCTGAAGAAACAAATGGCGTATGAACCAACTGTGGAGCATATGTATTCGGTGTTCCTTTGTACCAATATTTATGTGTTCAAATAAATAAGTACATATTTATAAAAATCTCAGTAATTTAAATCATATATATATATAGCTTCGACTTTTCATTTAACAGTCTGTCGTGTACTTTATTATATTACCTATGTCACACATTAGAAACCGATTATCTGATATCATATAGATCTTTTTTTAAGATAAATAACCCTTTTATAGAAAAACGTCTGGTTATTTTGAACTTGTTTGACTATAATTGTTTTTAGTTAAACTATAATCAATCCACTGATTTGATTACTTTCTAAGGTATAGTGCTTTTAATACAAGTGAATATTTCTTTTCTAATTCACATAATCGGTTAATCTTAGTTAACGAATCACTGACAACCAGTAAGTACTGAACAGCTGTTTCGTCCCAATGTGGGTCTCCTCAGGAACAGTACACGTCCACAACACCTCGCCAGGGATTGTCTTTAGAACGTACAGGTCTCGTGAGGAGCGCCTAATCTTTAGACCACAAAACTAACATCTGATGGCTTACGTGTCGAACTTTAATCAATGTATGGTATTTCACAACAATCTTTCAGTGTCATATGTGGCTAATTGTCTCACACGTGATATAAAATTTAGTTGTCTCCATAAATCGCTTTTGACAGTATTCCCTGTATGATTTAAAACAGCGACATACTATGTTAAATCATTTTTCGTTTTGTTATATTACGTAAAATCTACGTTTATTGAGAAAACCGATCAATTGTGAAAGAACAGATTAATTACCATTAATTGGTTTCATACTGTCTCTTTCAAAATCAAATTATTTCTTATTGTACTTCTTAACTTATCATACAGTACACCTTCTAGAGCTCTGGCTCTTTTTAGTTAAGGCTTCCGACTTTAAGACATTTAGCTACAGGTTCAAACACCATACCATATACGTCTATTTCAGTAAACTGGGTTAGGTCAAAAGCCTTAACCAATTAGTTATCTCTCTAGCAGGTATACTATATGATAAATAAAGAAGTACAGTAATAAGTTATTTGTATTATAAAAGAGACAATATTACACTAGATAATTGCAATTGGTTTTAACTTTAAGATATTTAGCCTCGGGTTCAAACCTCACTCTACCTAATTAAGCTTGAGTAACCAGGTAATACCACTAATTCTCACAATTAGAGTTTAGCTCAAAGCTAATTATACGAATTTGTATTCAGTTAATAAGTTGAATAGAATTACTCCTTGTATAGCTGCTATAATGATCATGTAAAATAGACAACTACTGTTTATATATGTATTGTTAATTGTTTCATTATTATTTTTTTCTTTTGTAGGTCCATTTTACTCTTGGCTACTTCCATGTTCATATCTTTTCAAGCCTTATCCAAAATATTATACTGCTTTATCCAATATTATTAATGATGTAAATTACTCTGTCAACAGTTGTAATAATAATAATAACAATAATCTTCCAATCAATGATCATCATCATCATCATCATCACCATGGAATTGATAATAAATCAACACCAATCACTACAGCTTCTTCATTTTCTCCTGAAATCGATAGTGTTTCTTCTTCTTCCAGTT